GGTTTGATGGCTCTAAGTAATGTCCCCATCACTGGCATGCCCTAATGTTGCTGTGACATTTCCAAATTTGTTGAAGTTATCTATGATTTTGATTATACAGGAAGCAAACTCGAGTTATCTTTTATAATTGTAAAAAATTGATGGTAATCGTTGACACAGAGCACTCAGTTTATTTTTAGTGAACTGTTGTTTGAGAACTCCCATACAATTTTTGCATACTGTAATTTAAAGGACAAAACCATCCAGTAGCTCAGATGCTATGTGCTTTGGTTAAACAGGACACATATTAGGAGTGGGAGAATCAAAGCTTGTCCTATGTCTTTAAAATTTTTTAATTTACTTGATTCTTACCTATAGGCTTCTGATGTGTTTCTATAAGAGGACTTAACAGTGTGTTAAGTCAGTAGCAAACCCACTGCTATCTTAGTTATACTGGTTAAACAAAAACTTAAGCTAGATTGCAGTTTGATTAAACTGTACATACTGTGCATATGATGAATTTTATCTTATGTAAATTATTTTTAGAACATGAGTTGGGAAATGTGGCTTCTGTTCATTTTGTTTAATTAATGCTACCTCCTAAACTATAGTGGCTGCCAGTAGCAGAATGTTTAATTGTGGTTTATATACATGTTTTTGTTTTTGATTTTTTTCCCATGCATTGTAAATAGTCTTGGTTGTACATTGTCAGTGGAATAAAAACAGAATCTTTGTATATCAAAATCATGTAGTTTATATAAAATGTGGGAGGGATTTATTTACTGTGTGCTGTAATTTTGTAAGGTCATCTATTTACAACATAAATATAATGTTTGTATATTTACACATCTGATAAATATTAAATCATAACTTGGTAAGAAAATCCCAATTAAAGGCTTTCTTCCTAAGATTCAAGTTATTGAAAACTGTTTTTTAAGATATAGAATAGACCAAGCATAGTGGCTTATTCCTTTTAATCTCAGCAGTTGGGAGGTATAGACAGGTGGATCTCTGAGTTCAAGGCCAGCCTAGTTTGCATAGTAAGTTTCAGGGCAGCCAGAACTTTATAGAGAGATTGTGTCTCAAGAAAACCTAACAAAACAAAACAAAAACCCAAATAAAGCAACAGTAGAATACTAGGTACATAAAAGTATGTGGTAAACTGTGCTAGACATTTGATATTAAATATAGCATTGTACATAATGTTTTAAATGATTAAGCGTTTGTATAAAGCAATTTAGTATTTCTTAAATTATAACTAGGTATATATATTACTTAGTGTACTTAGTATTGCACAGTCAAATTAAAAAAAATTTTTTTCTTATAAAGGAAAACATTTAATTTGGGGCTGGCTTACAGTTTCAGAGGTTCAGTCCATCATCATCATGGCCAGAAACATGGCAGCATATAGGCCAACATGGTGGTGGAGAGGGAGCTGAGAGTTCTTCATCTTGACCTCCTAATAGTGCCACTCTCTATGGACAAGCATTCAAAACATGAGGCTAAAGGGGCCATTCCTTTTTAAGCCACCACATTCCACTCCCTGGCTCCCATAGGCTTATAGCCATATCATAATGCAAAATACATTTAGTCCAACTTCAAAGTCCCCATAGTCCATCACAGTATCAACAATATTTAAGAGTCTCTTCTGAGATTCATGTAATCTCTTAGCTGTAACCCCCTATAAAATCAAACTCAAAAAAAAATAAAACAGATCATATACTTCCAAAATATAATGGCACAGGGTATACATGACTATTTCAAAATGTAGGGAACGGAGCACAGTGAGGAAATACTGGACCAAAGAGGACCAAAAACCTGCTGGGCAAACTCCAAACTTTTCATCTTCATGTCTGATTCAGACCTCCAACTCCCTTCAGCTTTGTTGACTACAATACACTTCTGTCTCTTGGGCTGATTCCATTCCCAGTTAGCAGCTCTTCTTGACAGGTATCCTACAACTCTGTCATCTAACCTTTTGGGGTCTCCAAGGTAATCCAGCCTTTACCTTCACAGCTTCATGCAGTGGCCTCTCTGAGCCTCCATGCAGGGACACCCCTGCCACACAAGCCTGGCCTCTGAAGCTTTCCTTAGTCTCAGAAAGATTCTACATCCCCTTTTTTCTATTGTTGACTCTAAAGCCAGAACCATGTGGCCAAATCTGCCAAGTTTTGCTGCTTGCTGGGGCTGGAATATGGCCCCCTTGTTCATTTTCATCTTCACTAGCTTTTTGTTTTTGATGGTTTCCTTTACTGTCTTGAAATTAAAATTTTTAACTACAGAATATTAAAAGAAATGTTGGAAATTACCACTGGAAAACACAATTTTCATGCTATCTATAAAAGTCTAGGACACTATACTGAAATTTAGAAGTAAAGTTTTATCCCAAATCTAAACTATATAGTAGAAAACAAATTGTGATATTTAAGAGAATAATAATCATTAGATCTTTACTAAAGGCAAGAATTAACAATCTGCATGATACTACATGAAATGACTTTCCTAGATGCTTAGGAAAACCCACATTTTTCAAATGAAAAGACATTTAATTGATAAGCCACAGTACATTTCAGTAAATCCTTGAAACATGTATGAGCCAAACCAGAACTCAATTCTCTGTGTGTTTATGATTTTATGAGTGTGGGTACATACAGGTGTGCTCATGCCAGACAACAACTTGTCATCATCTCCCTGGAGTCTGGCCCCCTCATTTGGGACAGGTTCTCTTGTTAGTCTGAAACTCATTGATTAGACTGTCTGATTAGCTAAAATGACTGGTCTGAGCTTGTGCCACTACACTGCAGTTTTATGTGGGTGCTAGAAATGGAATTCAGGTGCTCATGCTTTGAGGTAGGCATTTTACTGACTGAATAATCACCCTAATCCACTCATTTAACTCTCGGTATAGTAGTGAGTTTATGTTACACTTTGAATGTTGGAAATTTCTATAGCAAAAAGCATGGTGTAATTACCTTACTTACACCTTTCACAATTGTCCACAGCACACAATGAAGCTTTCATCTTTACCACATTCACTAAGCCCCTCAGTCCTTCTGCATCTTGTGTTATTCTGAGACAAGCTAAGACATGTTTCATATGTTAATACTTAAGTATGTGCAGGAAGACATTTTTAAGCCCATATCATAAAATTGCCATAAGGATTACTGGCAAAGGTATTAGTTTTGTAATATAGTTAAATATTTTTAAGCAAAAGTCACTCTTGCAGGGAGTTTCCACACCAATTTTTAAAAACCCTCATATTATTAGAGTGAAAATAAACGAGTACTAAGAAGATACTATTATGTCCACATCCTATAACTTAAGGGAAGAGCTAATTTGTACATTTGTATAATCCTATCCATCTTGACTACTGCTTCTCAGCCCAAGTAATGAAAAGCACTGCAAAAATAGATCACATTCACACAGCTGCAGCAGGCCATGTAACTGCCTTGTAGCCTTTAAGGTTAATGCTCTTGGTGAGCACACTGATCCTAGAGTATCAAGAATATGTTAAAAAAAAAACATTTAGAGGGTTAGGAAAGTATATGGTATAACATTCTGTCACTAAGAGGGTTTATGATGGGGAACTCAATGTGCGATGTAGTGTCAGTGTTTACCATTGTAAATGGCAAGTCCTGGGTACAGCTGAGGCTTAATGAATGAATATGCTAGCGGGGTAAATTATTTTGGGGAGGGTTAAATTGAGATCATTGTGGTCAAACAGCTTATTTAAGGATGTTAAGAGGAAAACTACTAGTTCAAAGCCAGGTCCATTACCTTCTCTAAAACTTTTAGGTTATTTTTGGGGTGTGGGGGATTGTTTCTCAAGCTTCCATTTTTGTGAAGGTGTAAGGTAGTCCAGTGTCTCTGGGTTACTGACACCAAGAGTGTTTTCTGACAAAAGACTTTAACTAGATATGCTAATACTGAAGAACTGGAGTAAGTCATAGCAATAATTCCACTAAGTCACCTTTTCGTATTCTGTTGTACAGTTTTCTTCCAATTTTTACTGCAAAATTGAACAAAATAGTGCTACCATTTCATTTATAGTCAGTGTGACCTTTGCCTCACGTTTGGTTGCTAGTAATTCCACCATATTTAACTGTGCTATGAAAATTTTACAGATAAAAATGTCAGATTTTGTATCTTTGATCATTAAAGTTATGTGCTGTGTCGGTCATTCTCATTTTTCACTTGTGATGTTTCTTACACTAATGTACATTAGGAACTAGACAAAAGCTGTGTTTACAAATGTATGCAGTTTTATGAGCATGAATAAGCAGCCCACTTTCAATATCTGCCATCTTTTCCTTGCGTACTTCAGCTAGGTCCTAGGTCCCTAAAAGGAGAGTGCCTCGAGGCCTAGAAAAATGTCTATTGTATCACAGTTTGACTTTTCATTATAAAAAGAATGATGGATTTTAAGGTTGGCTCATGATTTTCTGCTATGGACATGCTGGAGTGTGGACACAAATGCTTTGAAAGGCCAGAAAGTTAACACATACTGAAAAAACTGATTATGCCATACAGTGAGAGACTGTGCCCACAGAGGATTCTTCGCTCGGATAAAGTTCTTTTCCCTAGACTGCAGCCTGATGTAAGAAACAAAACAAAAACAAACGAACAAAAAAAATCAGTCACGAGTACTAGTTTTTTTTATGATCCTGACCTTATATGAGAGAGGAGGAATAACCATGGCTTCGGGCTTCTGCCTTTTCCTTTTAAAGGATCGGCTTTAGTGACACGTGTCGTGTACCAAATAGCCTTCAACACCACAGCAAACATGGAACTGAGGAGAGTGTAAGGACCAGACGGAGGACTCCGGGAGATGCTGAGCAGACGCTGTCAGTCCGGAACCTTCCAACCCTACCGGGACTGAGGAAGCCAAGCTCCACAAGCCGGGACAAAGCCCCTTACGGTCTACAAACGTCGCTATGACAACACTCCCTAGAGCTGGCGTTGATTGGCCGGAGGGCGCGCGCGGAGCCTGCTGGGAGAACGCGCCGCTTGTCCTGCTCCGGCCGTTTGAACTTGGCGGGCCTGATGCGGGCGGCAGGGCCGAGGCGGGTTGCCTCTCCCGCTCCGTGCACCCGCTACCTCGCCCGCTGCAAAACGGGCTTCCGACCTTCCTCGAGCTTTGTCGTCGACCTCATAGTGGATTCCCAGGGCCCAGGGCTGAAGGATGTGGCGTTGACTGAGTGCTTGTCGCCGCCGTCTCTGAGCTGCAGCAACTCCACCCTGTCCCTGTTGTCTCCCCTTGGCCACCAGAGCTTTCCGTTTGGAGAGGACGATAGTGAGGGGGAGGATGAAGAAGCCCTGGACGAAGATGCCTGTGAGTCAGAGGCCAAGGTGGAGAGCTTGGAAGGAATAGAGTTACGGGGGCGCTCCAGGTAAACTCAAGGCCGGACCACAGCCCTTGTCAAGACTCCTTAGAGATGGGATTCGTAACGTTTTGTTGCTCACCCCCAGCAGTATAACCTCCTGTTTTCCAGCTCAAAGGCTGCATCCTGGGGTGCTGAGCAAATTCTTACAAATGGTCACTCTTTCCCCATGATTCCTAGTTCCCTTTCCTGAGATTGACTCAGTTTCCATAGAAACTTGCTGTACATAGTCGCAAGCACACAAAACTTGCTGCCAGGAGTCTTTAAAAATCTTAAAAACCATGTCGTCGGCTCAGGAGCTCTTATCCATAAACTTAACATCAAAATGTGTAGTTGGCGCTGGGTTGTAGTAAGTAGATGCTTTTAATACAGTGTTGGGTACGGATGCCTGTAGTAATATACTCTGCAGAGACAGAGTAACTGATCTGAGTAAGAACATTTAATGGAATAGTGAGTGTTCATCAAAGGGGTTAGTTAATAACACCATCTTAATGTTTATTTACATTGATTCATTCAGCAAACATTTTACCACATATTAGTGTAGGTAGAGGGGACTATAAACAAGATAGACAGGACTTATGTTATCAAGAAAGGAAAACCCAAACATTTCACAAATAACAAGACGGTATTAGAATACAGATAGAAAGTATACTTGGGCTGGAGAGAGCTCGGCGCTTAGGAGGCCTAACTGCTCTTGTAGAAGACCCAGGTTCACTTCCGGTCACCCTCACCAGGTGGTTCACAACCACCAGTAACTCTGGTTCCAGGAAATCTGACACACTCTGTCTCCTACGGGCACCTGCAAGCTTGCACTTGGTGCACATGAGCTCATTCACAGTGCATATATACTCAAAAGCAAACCTTTTTAAAGGTGGGGATGAGCAGATACTTTTTTAAAGACTTGCTTCAAAAGCATATAGTACTTATAGCCCAGGGCTTAGTACTCGGGTATCTCTTTCAGGTTCACTTTTCCTTACACTATATACTCATTACTATGGAAACTGGAACAAAGGGCCCATCCCTGTAGGAATATTTCTAAGAGAGAATATATGCCTTATGACATCTTCAGGAAGCATTTACAATTTGATTGTCAAGCGGTGTCGGGCATAGTACAGGAGGTTTAAGAAATTCCCTCCAGCAAGGCCATGCTTTTAATATAAGTAGCAAGATAGCCCCCCATTCAGTCTAAGGCATTCATATAAGAATTAGTGAATCAAAAAGGACGTTGCTTACATGCAAAAAGAATTTTGTAAGGCTGAAAGGTGAACGTTGTACCTTGGTGAGGGTGGAAATTACAAAGAGCAAGTGAGCAAGCGCTTTTCCAGACTGCTAATAGCAATAAGAAACAGGCCTTCCCTGGGTAGCCTAGTAGAATTTTGAATTAGAATTTTAGGAGTCTTTTCACAAGCACTTTCAGGGCAGCGTGGATTTAACATATTTTAAAAATAAATTTGAAGGCTTTGATGAATACCTTCTAGTCAGTATTCAGAAGAATCAAGCAGTGTGTCATAGTTTAGCAGTACTATGAATAAAGGCCATCAGAATACAGCTCAGCAACTGAGACTTGTATTAGCGTCCAGGAGCCAAAACACGAACCAATAGGGAGCCTGCTAGGGAGGAAGTAGGCCTATTTGGTTCTCATTCAAAGCCAGAATAAGCTGACAGGACCTAGTTTTAACCTGATTTCACACTTCAGTCCTTAGTCAAAGGACTAAGACTACATCTGAAAAAAAGAATGCAGGTTTATTAAGTTTTGTGGAGACAGAGGACAGGAATTTCACTTTTAGGGCAAAGCTATAGACAGCACAGAGGTGTGACACATTTATCAACCTGTAGTTCAGCAAACCAAAACATGAAGTCTTCATCACTTTGCTTAAAAGGAGGAGCTAACTCAGGAGTTTGGATTTTATGGTGAAGGTAAAAGACTCAAGAATGTTTGTGGTGATACAAGGATTCGTTTAAAGGGAGAACCTGGATACAGCTGTTAAGAGTGGTTTGAAAGAAAGGGAAAAGACCATTTATTGTAAGGTTGGAGAATAGAATGGCTTGAAAAAATAGAAGGCTATAGATATGTTACTACATGTGGCCATATGTATGTAGAATGTGGGAGCATGTGGAGTTAAAAATGGGAGTTTCTGGTTTTGGTGACTGGGTAGGTGTGGGTACCCTTCACTAAGGATTGGAAGAAAAGTGAACTTTTATTGGAAGGCTGGATAAGTGCTCAAATGATTGGATTTGTTTGATAATGGGATGATTGGAAAGAAGTCTGGAACCAGATAAAGGTCTGAACCATATTACTGATGTGGGACCAAGAAGATGTAATATATGAATTGATGTAGGACAAGATAAAGTCATTCTGCAAGACTGAAAAAGAAGGAAGTGTATAAATAATATGTCAGCAGTGTTTCTTTCCTTCCAGAATACAGATTCTATAATGGTGTGAATAAACAAATAATAGCAGGAAAATGAGTAAACTTAATCTGTAAGTAGTGAAAATTACATAACATAGTTGATGAGGCCATTGTTTGCTAGAAAGAACACTATAAACACACAAAGAACTAGGGTCTATAATAAACTAGGTTTTAGGAGTGAGGGAGATTCATCTCACAGAATGCTATCTATGGTGAACTTTGGATCTAATCATCAGCATCACAGTTTTTTGTTTGCTTGTTTGTTTTTAAAGGAGGCTGTAGAGATGGCTCAGTGGTTAAGAACACACTGCTGTTATAGAGGACATGATTTGAGTACCCAGAATCTACATCTGATGTTCACAGCTTCCTCTAACCTAGCTTCAGGGCATCTAACTAACACACTCTTCTGGCCTCTGTTGACACTGTACTCATGTGTACATACATGTACATACAGACACAGGCATTCTGTTTTGGACCCTGAGCAGTCTTTTCCATGGAGCCTGGTCATTAAGCTTTCTGTAAGTCTTGTGAGCATTATGAATTAGCCAAGTTGCTCTGCTCTTAGATTTCCTTGTCCAGAAGAGTTACAGAAGACACATAGTGGGAATAGAGACTGACAGGAGACCGATAGCCTGAAGAGTTGTAGTTCACTAAGACACTGGCAAAGGGAATCAGCTATAATCTTTAGTTTGCTCCAGTCCCTGGGTTCAATTCCCAGCATGAAAAATTAGAACACCATGAAAAAAAAAAGCCATAGTAATAGACAAGTTAAAACAATTTCAAACTTACAAAAAATTGGAAGAGAATCTTAACAAATATCTGTTTCCTCCTTTACCCAGAATCCCTGATTGTTAACACATTTTTGCTTTGTATTTGCTCCATATGTATACACATTATTTTTTCCAATATACTTTTAAGGAAGGAAAAGGTCTGGTTAGGATTATATGTAGTAATTAGCTGTCCAAGTAGAATTTTTAGGAATAAAAAAAGATCAGCAATGTTGAAATTGAGGCAGATGGATTGGTTTGGGATACTCCCATGGATTCTATAATAATGTGGTTTGAGAAGTAAAGGCAGTTTGATGGGTAAAGTCATTTAAATGGGTTTGTAAAAATGAAACTGTTAGAAATATTCCATTTTTGCTTTCATTGCACAGCTATGTGTTTCTGAGTGGGAAGAGTTCTCTGTAATTAGTGCTCCCCTTCTCTCTCTTATAGCTGTGAAGCTGAGTCTCAGGACAAACAAGAACAGAAGCAGGTGCTATTACAGGAAAGTAGTCTGACACCATGGGAGATGTGGTTTGTTGGCAAAGAAAAGGAAGAGCGTGGCCGGCTACAACAGAAAGTTCTGGAGGTAAACTAAACAGTGTCTCTTCATTAAATTCTGAGCTCACAGAGATCCACCTGTCTCTGCTTCCTCAGTGTTGGAATCAATGGTGTGCACAACCTTGCCAGCCAACTTTTCTATCTTAATCTTCATATTCAAACATAGCTAAGGAATACTAAAGGGTACTCTTATGTTGAAGGAAATAGAATCAAACTCTCATATAACCTGCATTTTCTCCTGTTAGATATTAATATATTTCCATACCATTGAAAACAGTTTTTGTTCTGAGAATTGAACATGCTAGGCAAGTGCTCTTACCTTTGTGTTACACCCCCAATTCTAATTAAATCCTTTTAAATATCATTTTAAAGTGGCTTCCTGAAAATACTATATATAGAATGTATTAAATATATATCAAAATTTGTTCACAGTGTGGAGATTTTATTTTCATCTGTTACCATGTTAACATAAAAATCATAGAAACTAAAGCCTTTATAGTATTAGAATAAAATTTTCCTTATAAGTTTTAAAACTAATTATTTTTGTGTTGAATTTCTTGCTAGGTTGAAAGTCACAAGTCAGGAGACTCGGCATAACTCAAATGGTTGTGGGTACTATTCTGTTCAGTTGTTTCCTATTACACACTACTCTGTATTCTAGAATGTAAATCAATTCCTGGAAAGTACACTGTGAGGGAAGCCCTTCTTTGTTAGCAGGACTTTAAAAAGACCTTATGGTTGGTATTAGGAAGGCTTAATAAGAGCCCCAGTTACAGCCTTTTCACTTCCTGGGTGGGATTGCTAAGTTATTTAAACTTTTGTACTTCAATTTCTCCGTCTGTACAAGAGAGTTGAAATTGTATATGTCATAGGATTTTTATAAAGATTAAATAAAACAAAGCATGAAAATGACTGATTTTTGTATCATTGTCATCATGATCTTCTTAATGTTTTTTTATTTATTTTGCATATTAACTTGTATTTTGAGACCTAGACAAGAGTCTTATCTTACCTTATTAGCCTAGGCACCCCCGCCCTGTCTCCCAGTACTGGGAATCAACTCCAGGATCCTCTACATGCTAGACAAACACTCTGCTACTGACCTATACCCTTAGGCTCAACATATTAAAAAATATTTGTTCAGAGCTGAAGATATAACCTATTGGTAGAATGCTCACCTAGCATTCATGAAGCCCTGGGGTCCTTTTCCAGAATGGCGTAAATCTGACAGGTATGATGACACATGCCTGTCTCCCAGCCTGCATTGCCAGTATTTAGGAGGGAGAGTTGGAAGGATCAGAAGTTCAAGGTCATCCTGTGGAGTTAAAATGGAAGCAATCAATACAAATACTTGCTCATAGTAACAAGTCTGTTCTGTTTATTACACCAAAAATGAATATATGTATATGTATGTATCTAAAATGTCTGTTTTGTGCAACAGTTGGTACTGTGTTTTGATTTTGTTTGTTTTTAACCCATTGAATTGTTATTAGGTTCACAGTCTGACTTACTACATTTTGGTAAGCCAGAGAGGCTTCTGGGGTATTGATAGCTTTGTTTGGACCCTACCTACAAGTCACTTGTTAAGACAAAAGGAGTTACTTCAAATCATTTTTACTCGGTATATAAAGGAAGAAGTTTCTTAAATTAGAGAAAAGTAGTAAGAGTGCCTGGTCTGTGGAGTCATATAGAACAAGACTGAAATTTTAATGTGAGAAAGTTGTTTACATTGTTTTGGCCCTGGTTTCTTCATCCACAAGCCAGACATTAGCAGTAGAGTAGTTAATAGGATCTAATTGAGCCTACTTTCTATTTTCAAAACTTGAGACTGAGCAGATTCTTCTGTGCTTTGATGAAAGAGAGAGCATACTGTTGGGTTATGGCCGAGTATATTAAAAACGCTCAATACAAGTTAGATATTATTGAGTATGAAAGGTGATAGATAATTACTCTGAAAAGCTGTTTTGAGAACAAATTATAATAATATAAAATCCATGCCACAGTAATTAAACATACAGAAGGGTATAATTATTTGTAAGGATTAAATCATTTTCATGTTTTGGATTATTTAGCATTTTTGTGCTACCTTATTACTTTACTCTGACATGACTAAGGTATTTTTGACTGATTTTTTTTTTTTTTTTAGTTTTTGAGACAGGCTTTCTCTGTTAGTTTTGGCTGTTCTAGAACTTGCTCTGTAGACCAGCTCTCCCTTGAACGTATAGAGATCCACCTGCCTCTGCCTCTCAAGTGCTGGGATTAAAGGTATGTGCCACATCTGCCCAGCTTTTGTCTCACTAGTATGTAGCGGTCATGCCAGGGATATCAACATGTAGGCTGACCATTTAGCTTTTTGCCAGCTTATTTTGAGTTGTAATCAGTACATTCTTTATGCCTTTCATTTTGTTTCCTGCTTTCCTTATTTATTACATTTCTTCTTTGATTTTATAATTTATATCATAAGAATCACAGATTTTTAAAAAATATCTATTTGTTTGTGTATTTTTTTGTATGTGAGTTGTTCTGTTTTCATGCACACTGGAAGATGGAATCAGATACCATTACAGATAGTTGTGAACTACCACATGCTTGCTCAGAACCGCTTAACCACAGTGCAATCTCTCCCGCCCCCAGATTTTTTTTTCTTAAACCACAGAAATAGTATATCTAAGATTCCTACTAAAGCTAAAAAATCAGGAAGACAGAGAAGTAATTGGTTAAGGTTTCAGTTAGTTGAAAACTTATGACTGAATCGATTTCCAATATAAATGCCTTTCTTCTCAATATCAAGATGTATTTTAGAAACAAATGAATCAGACTTAATATTTATTTACGTTTTTGACAGTTTTGAGTCAATTTTTTTTTATATCCCAGGATGTCCTTGAACTTGCTATGTCATCCTGACTGACCCCAGCCTCAATGTTCTTCCTGCTTCAGCCTTCCAAATGCTGGGATTTCAGTTCTAGGCTACCAAAGTTGACTTAACTGTTGAATTATTTAATTAGTGCACGTTTGTTATAGAGTGATGACTTTTGTCATAAGATTTTTGTTCAAGTATATAATGTACTTTAACCATATCCATCCCACTACCCTTTTCTCTCCTCCCTTCTCTCACCAGTCCTCTTTTCTTAAATCTCTGACATTTTGTTTTCTTCTTTTAAAATTTAAAGAAAAACTTATGTGATAAGTTGGATCATTAAAAAGATTAGTCTTATTGTTGATTTCATCAACATAAATATTCATTTCAGATGTTTTTGTTATTGTTATAATTATTGTAGGTCATTAAAATTACCCATTTACAAAATTTAAATGTTATTATTTTTGAACATCAATATCATAAAAGCCAGCACATTGGACTTCACAGGTTATTTCTATTTTATTTACAGTTTAAGTAATTCTTTAGCTACCTGCCTAGATTCTCTATGGTCTCTTTTTAGGCTTCTTTTTGGTGTGTGTGTGTGTGTGTGTGTGTGTGTGTGTGTGTGTATGTATGTATGTATGTATGTATGTATGTATGTGTGTAGATGCCTATGGAGTCCGTAGAGGGCACTGGACTCCCTGGGACTGTAGTTAAAGGAGGCAGTGCTCCATCTGATGTGCTAGGCACTGAACTTGGGTTCTCTTCAAGGACATGCTTTTAACAACTGAGTCATTTCTCTAGCCTCATTCTCTCTGTAGTCTTTTGTTCCATTAATTGACTTTATATGTGAATATAATGCATTCAAAATTGTAACATCCCTATTTTTTAATCAACCAGGTGGGTTTTCATTCTTTTTCCTTACCACATTAACTTTGGTCATTTAGCTAATTAATTAGCCCTGGATAAAGCAATTTGGTGGTATATAGAATAGGCAAAGCTATTTTGTTTTGTTTTTAACTGTTACCTTCAGTGGCTAAAACTTCTTTGCATGTAGTTACAATATTACACATACATGCTGATTCTATTCTTACCATAAAGGGTGTACTCTATGGAAAAGTAGCTACATTTGAAATTCAGTGGTACACCAGCAGACCATGTTGGGCTTTTGAGTGAAGACTCCTGTCCTGAAAGAGTTCTACATTGGTGATGAACAGATGGAGTGAATGCTAAGCATGGGAGGAGTCCGTGTTTCTAGAATGTGATGGGTATTTTGGAGGGGTGGGAAATTATTTAAAAAGACCCTCTGGAATTGGACCACTACTTTAGGTCAGTGTTAACATTTTTTAGGTATTACTGAGTCTTCTTTAGTTCTTAGACTAACTGATAATTGGCAACCATAAAGCAGGGTCTAAGATCTGAGTAACCCCTTTTGCAATTGTTGATTATTTGAAGAATCTTTCAAAAGGATATAAGTATGATCACCTCAAATCTATTGTACATGTAAACTGTAAAACAGTTTCTAACTCTGAGAACATGGCTTTAAAGAGCAAGATGGTGAGTGGGGATGTTTGGCAAGCATAGTGCAGTATTAATTTCCTCTTTTTGAGAAACCCCGCATAAATTGAATACTATGAAGCAAGAATTCATGGCAGAGGGGTGATTTAGAGTTCTCAGTGACAAAGACTGATGACAGTGATTAATGGCTTGAAAACTATTCTGAGGAAGATTGACTAGGAAATTATTGGGTACTTGTTAAATTGGGAAGACTGTATGGAGTTGTGTCTGAAAACAAAGGAGAAAAATATATCTTTATACACACCCCGAATGCATATATGTAGCTAAGTCTCTACATTAGATTTGATAGTTACATAAACAACATTTTGTAAAACAGTCCTTATAAATGCAGTGCTGGGGAAGTAGAAATGTGATGGGTCCTGGGATTTGAGGCCTAGGTTCCAGTGAGACCCTGTTCTCAAATAGCAAGATAAGCCCTGTGAATTGGCTCGGTGGGTAAAGGTGCTGGCTGGCTTGCTAGCCTGATGACCTAAGGTTTGATCCCCAGGTCCCACAGTAGAAGGAGTAAACCTACCCCTGAAAGTTGACAGTAGCATGCATATACCCACACTTCACATACATGTATTATGTGAGCATTGCACATGGCAGGCACACAGACACAGACACACACACACACACACACACACACAACCACCCAGTTCATATTAGCTATATAGCAAACATTCTGTAAAAATGTATTATATGAGTAATCAAGGAATAATAGGTAATTAGTAAAGAAGTCTTAATACTAAGATCACAATTTGCTTTTAGATGGATAGTATTTAAAAGTTGAGAGTTTCTGGGTAAAAGAGGCCGCTGTCTTCTATCCAGTAGAATTGAGACAAGCGCTCACATAAAACACCTAGCCTGTGATTTGTTCTAAAGTGCAAAAACTTTGTCTTGTGTAAGTTTTATTTCCTTTTAGGCACTGGAATTATACTGAGAGAAAAAGTGTCCTTATTGGCATGTCTACTCAGATAGGTAGGTCTTAGGGAAATGGAAGGATGAGTAAGAGTAGATTAATGAAACATAGGAAATTTGTATCTGATTATTAATAACTAAGGAGAGAGAAGACAGTCAGCAGTGATTGATTGTCGAATCCTAGAGAAGTCTAGTTTGAACAGTTTTCTCAACAGTGCATGGATTTTACTAATGAGTAACAAGTTATGTGGCATTCACCATGTGTTTTACTAGCCATACCTTCTTCATTCCTTCTCCCAAGAAAACAATCAGACATTTTGATACTGGTGACAGCAAGGCAGTTAAGTAATCTGGCATCTGAGCATGGTTTTGTTTTATATTCCAGCATCTGTAAAATGAAGAAAACTCCAGATTCTTTTTTTTTTTTTCTCTAAGGAAAATGGCTTCTTTACATTTCTTTAGTGTGGCTATGAACTAAAACTTTAAGGCTTATTTCATTCTTATCCTTTATCTTCATTAAGAATCTAGTAGGTTTTTTTTTAAATAACTTTAAAAAACAAAGTTATAACTGCCAGTACCTAACAGTGATGCAGAATTTATGTGTGGGAAAGAAGCTGGTTTCAATGCAGGTGATTTTGCTGAAGCTTAGTCTAAGAAACTAGTGCTTTACTGCCAACCAATTATTAGTATTCCTGTAGAATGTCTTACATGTACCAATGCTTTCTTTTATCCCAGAGTTACTTGAGTAAAGTATTGTCACTAGTGACAATATAAGAGAAGACATATTTGTATCTAATTTAGCCTCAGCCTTTTTACAATTATGTTATTTGGGTATTTCTATTAAGTGCTACTCTTTGTTTAAAATCTCACAGGAATTAAATCAACAAATAGAAAAAAGAAAAGAAATGGAAGAACGTGAAAAAAGGAAGATAATTGCTGAAGTAAAGCACAAAGAATGGGTTCAGAAGAAAAATGAGCAGGTAATGAAAAACAAATGCATGCATATACTTCATATCTTCACAACGCCTTTGTTTCTCCCCCATTATCAAAGACTGCTTAACTTTTGCTTTTTTATTGTCTTAGTCAGGGTTTCTGTTCCTGCACAAACATGACCAAGATGCAAGTTGGGGAGGAAAGGGTTTGTTGAGCTTACACTTCCACATTACTGTTTTATCACCAAAAGAAGTCAGGACTGGAACTCAAGCAGGTCAGGAAGGAGGAGCTGATGCAGAGGCCATGGAGAGATGTTACGTACTGGCTTGATTCCCCTGGCTTGCTCAGCTTGCTTTCTTATAAAACTCAAGACTACCAGCCCAGGGATGGCACCACCCACAATGGGCTCTCCCACCCTTGAACACTAATTGAGAAAATGCCTTATAGCTGGATCTCATGGAGGCATTTCCTCAACTGAAGCTCCTTTCTCTGTGATAACTCCAGTTTATGTCAAGTTGACACACAAAGCCAGCCCAGTACATTTATATAGCCAGAAATTGGCTACTTTGTAGGTTCTTTTTTCATGTACCCTTCTTCACCCCTTTTTCTTCCACTCTTTCAACCTCCTAACACTAGATAGGAGAGAAAAAAGGACAGAGGGGAAATGGGACTATATTAGCACTAGACTACTTTGTGCTGATTAGGGGTATTGAGTTCCTTGGGACAAGTTTGATTTTTGCTGTCAGGATATCTAATTTCTCCTTGTTGTTTCTTTTTTTGTGCACTAATACTTTACAATTCACAACTATCAGCAACCAACAGTAGCCAACCAATAGCCCACACCACCACCACCACCACCACCAGCTTCTTGGGGCCTTAGCATTTATATATTCTCTGAAGAGTCCCCAGAATTCTAAGTACAATCACAATTCATCACACAATCACAAAAACTATCTGCAGCTGGCAAAATCAGACCCCAGCTAGAGCACAAGGCAAATCAGTCAGCTGCTGTGGACAATCTGAAGTGGCCCTGTGTCTTACACCTGGGATTAAAACAAAAACACATTTCCATAATATGTATTTTTCAAAGAAACCAAAATTTTCACTACATTTTTGTTTTTATGGGGTTTTATTTGTTTGTTTTCCCTACTTTTATAAACTCTTATCAAGCGTCTGTCTTCTGCTCTTTTGTGGCTTCCACTAGTATCTTCCTGCAAGTCTGTCACTAAGTCTATCTCTAGTGGAATTTCAAGGGCTTGGACTTGCAAACCGATAGGTCCAAACTTGAACACCTGAAGCAACCAATGGCAACATGTCATTGCCTCTTAGAACCTTTCTTCAATCTCTTATTTTTCTTACTACTTTTGTCTCCTCAAACACTGAGGCATAATCAGGATGCTTGTTGTTAAACATCTTTTTATGGTTGTTTCTGAGTAGTCTTGTTACCTTTTGAATTCAGCTTCATTGTTTCCTCCTCTGCTCTGGAACGTAGGGGAAAATACCACAGATAATTTACCCAGAAATAATACTGACTGAGTAATCTTCTGTTCCTGCAGGATTATCGCTGAAGTCTGAATGACAGTCCCCTAGGTTTCAAATCTCTTTTCCATCTTCTGAATGAGATTTTTAAAATTCTAGCCTGGCTGGCTGACACACCGCACTGGGTTCGTCAATCTAAACTTCCTCTGGCATTTCTCCCACCTGTGCTTTCCTTTAATCTGTGATGTGATTTTGTTGGGCTTCTCTTAGAGATCATGAGACAGCCATAACCCATCTTTTAGTATAGTTTTACTGAACAGTTTTAAGAGGGAAAATGGTTTATCTTAACGCAAACACAAATAGGAAAAGCGTATTTACTCTTTCTCACAATGTTAAGGATTTAACCCATGGCTTCACATGTGCTAGGAGTCTTGTGTTCATTTATCTATACTCCCATTCCTACATTTTTTATTTTTAAGATACAAGTAGGTTTTTGTTTGTTTTAAAAAATTTTGTCTAGAGCTTTGCGTATGCTTTCTAGCTCCCAGGAATATGTACCCCTGAGAAATTTTGAGACTGCATCCTTACTTACTGCTTTTCATTTCATTACTTTTGGTTTTTTTTGTTGTTTTGTTTTTTAAGGTGTGTGTGTGGTGCGCGCTTCTGGGGCCTTCCAGAAGAGTTTCTTACACCTGACACTGGGATTTTCTTTCAATAATTCAACACTTCTGGAATCAATACTGTATGACACATACTTCATCAGGAATCTCCCTTGATAGTTAGAAATTCTTTCTTTCCAGTCTTTTCAATTCGCATCACTGTTAGTAAATTTGTTATATACTCTGCCTAAGTATGTATGTATTTTCCCAGAAAAGCTTTTATTTTATATACATGCCTTTACTTCTCTTTTCTTTTTAATCCTTTAAAACATGAATTGTTTTTATCCATTATTAGATTTAGCTTAATGCTTTGCATATCATAAGCTTTTTTATTGAATAATTTTTTACTTCTGTGTGCGTGCGTGTGTGTGTATGTGCGTGTGTGTGTAAATCTCTGTGCCCTATGCATGCTATGCAAGTTCTCTACCATTTAGTTACATTCCCAGATCTTCTTTTGTTTTTCTGTTATCATTTTTTTAAATAAAAGTATTAGGCCCTAAGAATTGAACCTAGGGTTTTGTTTATGTTAAGCTAATACTGAACTACTAAATTGAATACTTTTAGTTCCTATTTCAAGTTTAATACATTCTTGTGTAGGAACATACATCAGAAATCTTTAAAGTACTGGGACTGGGAGTGTATTTCAGTAATAGAATGCTTGCAGTGTATGCAGGCCTTAGTTAAAGCTCCAACAAGCAAGCCAGTAGGGAGTGGGGTGGGCTGGGGAGAAGGAGAGGGAGGGAGAGAAAGACAGATAGACTAAATGAATGAAATGTTATTGTAAATTTGTCTTTGCTCAAGTTTTTTTGTTTGAAATGGTGTTGCTTCATTGTTAAAGTCTACTTTTAGGAATTGAGACAAATATTTAAATTATAGGACAAAGTTTTTAATTTAAAGGCCAAAATTATAATTTTGTCCTAACTGTTAAATTTAATGCCCATTTATAATACTAAGAGGACCAATAGTTACAGGTGGATGTGATTATAAGAAGAAAATTGATTAATTGTGTATGTCTGCAAATTCAGATTTCTTTTTTCCCTCAGAAGTTCTTTTTTCCCTCAGAAGTCAATTGCAAAGATTATTTTGTTTCCTTGCTTCATCTGTAATATAACAAGAAAGTGTTCTTTGTGAATAAAATGCCAAGATCAAAATAAATATGTGACTATAACAATACTTTGTGTGATACCTTTTGGAAATTTAAACTATAAATCAGCATAGTTCTTGGTGTGTAGAATGCCGTTTTCTCATCTGAAAGCTACCTATCTTTAACTGTATTAAGTTAATGTTGCCGTGCCAGGCATGCGTAGCTGTTACTTGTCTAAGTATGGAAGATAATACTGACAGATTGATGGTATATTTGCTGTTTTAATTGTTGATGGAATATCGAATTAAATTGTTGAAGAAATTTATTTATTTATTTATTTATTTATTTATTTATTATTTATTTATTCATGGTGGGCAGGGGAAGACGTTGCTTGCCCTGGTAAAAATCATTACTTCAAAAGAATGAGAATTGGTTAAAAATGAACCCTGAAAAATTAAATTTACCCAGTATTCTACAGCACTCTTGTGCTTAAGTTATAATTATTCCTTACTTTTCTTTTTTCTTTTCCTTTTGTTTTCTTTTTTCTTTTCTGTTGTGTTTTTTCTCTCTCTCTTTCCCTTCCTCTTTCTTCCCTCCCTCCCTCCCTCCCTCCCTCCCTCCCTCCTTCCCTCCTTTCTTTCTTTCTTTCTTTCTTTCTTTCTTTCTTTCTTTCTTTCTTTCTAAATTCTCTGAGTTTCTTTTTCCAGCTTTCCCTACACTTACCTCTGTTTGGAAAGAAGCTCTCCTGCTTCTTTTCTAGTCTGGCATCTAGGATTCGCCCCTCTGTTTACATTTCATGGTGTGTGGTCCTCTGCCGCCTCAGCTTCAGGCTCAGTCAGCCCTAGCCGGCTGCCACCTCTGTCGTTTTTACTGTGCTCTATCAGAAAATCAGACAAAAGGAATTTATGTATCCATTAGCAATCTTGGTTTACTATAACTATAAATTGTTAAATCCTCTTTTAAACAAAAGGCATATCTCATCCGGGACTTTTATATTCGTGTTGTCATACTGGTTCTTTTTCTAAAGTTGGTTTTTAGTGTTGATACATTTTTGTGAGCAGCCTTTATTTTCAGTGCTTTAAAGTTACTTAAAAAGAAAACAGATTTTAACTTCCAAACACAATTGATATTTTGTGTGAATTACAGCTGCAGCTCAGTGGGGTCTGTGACCGATGGTGCTGCTATCAGTGTGTCCTTCAAGCTGTCTGGTGATGTTTGCTCAGCCTTTCCTCTGTGGGGGCAGGTGCTGTCGGAAGAAGTGCATAATCAGAAACATTTAACTAGTTCTTGTTGTCTTCTGTAAAAGAAGACATGCTGTGTAGGGTGTGTAGGAACCAGTGTGCTAGAAACCTGGAGGCACTATGTGGCTCCTCTGCTGTTCACAGATGTTCTGTTCTCTCCTTAAAGTCCTCGTGACAGCCTTGTCTAGTTTAAAAACTGTTATGTATGCATGTATTTGTTACCTCCAAACTCTTTACTAGCATGCTTTATTCAGAGTTCTCGCTGTCACTTCTCTGTGTGCTGAAATGTAGTTGTGACAACTGCTACCCCCATGCAGTCTAGCTGCTGTTGTATTTCATTGGGCTGTAACTTGCAAATTTTATATCAATTGTAAGTTTGTAAAGCTTGATAAACTTCTGTACCAGTGCAAGCAACCACACTACAATCAGGTGATAGAGCATTGCTGTCATTCCAGAAAGTTCCGTATGTCCAGTTACACTCAGCACCCTGCTCCTTACGCCAAGCCGGCCCCAGCAACAAGGTTAACACAGTAATCCTGTTCTGGAATTTGCCTGTTATAGAATTTATTTAAATAAAATGATAGGATGCACCCTCCTTTAAGTTGATTTTCTTTTGTTTTTAATTTTATCATGGTATTTTATATATTCTTGATTTCTTTCCTTTTTACTGTTCTAATATCCTGTGAAATAGCACAAATTGCTTATTTATCCACTAGCTAATAGGAAATTGAGTTGTTTTCAGCTTATACTCCCACACATTTTCATTTGTCTTAGGCAAATGTTTTAGAGCTCTGTTGCTGGCTGCATGGAAACTTAACTTTATGGGAATCACCAAACTTCTAAGGTGCTTGTACCATTTTATGTTCTCATTATTAACATGAAAATTCTAATTGGTCTATGCCTTTGTTAAACTTGATCTTATCAATCGTCTTTCTTTTGCATCCTTCTCTAGTTAGTATGCAGTGCTTTACCATTGCTGACTTAATTTTATTGCTCTCACTGGGAGACTTATTAGTCCAGCTAATAAAAACTGGAAGTTAGTTTTCTTATGGTTTGGGAGCCTAAACATCAAGAGGAAAGGATGTGTAGGTTTGGACTGCTCATTATATCTCTTCTTGGTTTACAGAAAAAACAGCTATGGTTTTGTTCCTTAAGTGGTGTTATATCTGTGTACACATCCCAATATGACTTTCTTTTCTATAAGGACACCACTACTCTAGGATTCAAAGTCCACCATTATGACTTCATTTCAGTTCCATTTCTTTAAGTGTAACCATGTTGGGAATTACAACAGCAGCATAGAAATTGAGTGGAATTTTCTCTTTTGTAGTTGACTTTTTTGTTTTGTGTATCATTTGCCTATTTTTGGAAGGTGTTAAGAAGATGTTAATTATGCAAAAAATTCCGCTCAGTGACATAGCTTTTACTCAGCATTCATAAAGTTCTGGATTTAATCCCCAGCCTTTACCATCTCTAAAGATACAAAAAGTAGGGTTATGTATCTTTTTGAAATGGGGTTGCCATGCTACAAAGGCATTCTTTGAACTCCTGCACCAAAGCAGTTCTTTCCCTCTTCTGAGCAGATACTACTCCACACATGCATGCTGTTGTAGCTGCCTCTGAGTTAATTTTACATGAGTTTTGTTTGTTTGTTTTTCTAGTGCTGGTGATTGAATACATACATGCCAAGTAAAGGCTCTGAGAGAGATTTCCAGCCTTTATATCCAGGCCCAAGCCCCTTGGCAGATATATGTGCTGCAAATAATGTCTTGCCATTTAATTTTTAATTTTTTAAAAAAAATATTTTGTCTGTATGAGTGTTCTGTCTGTCTCTATGTCTGTGCACCATGTGCATGCTTAGTGCCTGCAGAGACCAGCAGATCTTCTGGAACTGGAGTTACGATTATGAGCTGCCATGTGGGTTCTAGAGATTGAACCTGAGTTCTCTGTAGGAATAGCTTAATGTTCCTAACTACTAAGCCTTGTCTCCAGGCTCTGATTTTAATGGCTTGTGTTTTTATTTTAATTTTAAAGCTAGCATACAAAATAAAGGGTCTTGTTATGATATTTTTATATGTATGAACCAATGCATCTTGTTCTAATTGATACCCGTTGCCCAGCTGTCCTCCCTCTGCTCAGCCTGCCCTCTGGTTGGTGTGCTAGCTTCATAATACCCACTTACGTTTCATGTCAGATGGATTCACTGCCCTTTCTTTTCCTCCTCCCCTTAAGATTATTTCTCCTAGCTCATGATCCCCTTTCAAGTTTCAAAACACACTCGCATGCACACACACACACACAGCTCTACTTATTTCATTTGATTCTACATCTAGGTTCTGCTTTTAAGAGTTGTCATGTGCTTTCCAATTCCATCTTCCTCAAAATGTTATATTTCATTTTTTCCTTATGCTACATCCTATACGCATTTTCCTTATTCAAATTCCACAGTGTATATGAACCACATTTTCTCATCTTTTGATGGACATTAAGGTTAGTCCCATTTTCCAGTTATTGAGAATAGTGAAGCAACAAATATAAATGCAGAAATATCTCCAAGTATTTTAACTTATTCCCAGCAGTTGGAGATCTGGGCCATATTAGTTGTGTTCTTTTTTTTGAGAGACCTCCATGCTGATTTCCATAGTGGCTGTACTAAGTTACATTACCATCATCAGAGAGGAAAGGCTCCTCTTTCCCCATATCCTTGCCAGTATTTGTTTTCTTGATTACAGCCATTTTGACTAGAATACAATATCTCAAAGCAGTTTTAACTCGTTTGCCTCATAGCTAAGGATGCTTCAAACTTTTTTGAGAACTGTCTGTCGAGCTCACCAGTCAGTGCATTTATTGTTTGGATTTGTTGTTTGAGTGTTTCACTTTTACACTTGATAGATTCTAGATTGTTCACCCCCTGTCTGGTATGCAGTTGCAAAGGGTTGTTTTCTTCATTCTACAAGTTGTTACTTTACTCCAGTGATTGTTTTCTATGTTGTATAGATGCATCTTAATTTTGTGTAATCCTATTTGTTGATTCTTGGGATTGTTTTCTGTGCTAGTGTATTCATTTTCCAAAAGTCCTTGCCTGTATCTGTATCCTGCAATGTTTTTCATAAGACAATTGGAGGGGACTTGAAGACAAGATTTGACTTTTATGTCTTTATTTTCCAAATTCTTCTTTCTACCTACCTCTCTCCTACTCTCCCTATTTTACTCTGCAGCCCAGATTGGCAGAGAACTTACTGTGTAGCCCAGACTCGATCAAATTCCTATTAGTCCTATCCTTGCTCCCTACATATTGGGACCACAGGTGAGAGCTGTTTGTCGACTTTGAATCTATGTAGGAATTGTGTAGCCAAGCATTTACCTGTTTCTCCTCTAATAGCATTGTGGATTTGTCCTCTGTGACTCACTGATAGTTGTGATTTATCTAAGTTTGCACTGGCAGACTGTCGAGGAAATGCATGCATATGTGCTTGATATTTAGAGTGCAAGGAATGCTCATGAAACCATACTAAGATTCAGGATGATTAGTAGGTTATATTCTTATGCATGCATATGAGTCTTTCTTGAACACCTACCAGTCATTGTCCCAATCTTTTGAGTAGCCTTCCTGTTATGAAGGTAATTGCAGATATTATGGATACTTCAATTAAAATTCCTGCATTTTTATTGAAGGAAAGGAAAGAAAGGGAACAAAAAATTAATAAAGAAATGGAAGAAAAAGCAGCAAAAAAACGGGAGAAAGAACATTTGCAAGAAAAAGCAAAAGAAAAATATCAAGAATGGTTGAAGAAAAAAAAAGCTGAAGAATGTGAGAAGAAGAAAAAAGAGAAGGTATTTTTAATTGAAGTGACTAGTCATAGTACATAGTTTGTATTTTAGAAACAAAAGTATAATAATTCAGTCAATACTGTCTTAATATAAAATACACAAACTATCATTCTCCTGTTATTTTGTGTTTAATCTTTAAAATGGATAATACGTTTATGATATTCCTTGAAAATCATTAATAAGCCTGTGGATATTTATTCATCAGTCAGGTTCTAAATTTTTGTTACTGCTTTTAACCATTTTTATAGTATTTTATAGACATTTTACTGCTTGTGGGTTGTTCTTCTAAGACATTTGCATTTTTTGTTTTATGAATTTGCTGTCTTCTTGTTGTTGCGTGGTGGGCACTTACACACCACATCACTGATCATATTTACTTTTGCTCTTTGATTATAGAAACATAGTTCAGTTTTATGGCCAGTATGTCACTGGGGCAGAAAGCAACTAGGGGAAGACAAACATACAGTAAGACTTGACTGGAATATCTAGTTACAGAATATCCCAGGGAATTCTATGGTCTTATCATTTTAAGGAAAAAGAAAAACAACGGCAAGCAGAATTACAGGAGAAAAAGGAAATCGCAGAAAAAAAGTTTAAAGAATGGTTGGAAAATGCAAAAAATAAACCTCGTCCAGCTGCAAAGAGCTATGGTTACTCCAGTGGAAAGCTCACAGGTTGGTTTGTGTGTCTTGTGGCTTATATAAGTATGGTTTGCAGAAGCAAATGGTATAAATGTAATTTTTCTTTGAAATTATTATTTTCTAGAAGATTATAATATATTGCTTAGGATGTGCTATAAATTTATTGTTCCCTGTTCATTTCATATATAAATATATTTCTTAAAGGCAATAGTTCCAAACTACACACTTAAATTTTACTTATTTTTGTTTCTTCAAAACAGTCTTCCTTTGTTGTCCAGGCTAGCCTCAAACCTAGGACCCTCCTGCCTCAGCTTCCTGAGTGCTAAGGCTCACAGGCATGAACCATTGGTATTCACACACGAGTCATGGTACTGCTTGTTTCCATTGGTCTGCTTCCTACCTTGCTCCTGTTTCCCTCTGTCTCCTTTCATGTCACAGGTTCCATTGTCTTATCTTTCCCCCACCCCTGTAGATCTAGTCTTTCCCTCTCATGATCCCCTTTCATAATATGCACAGAGGTTTCACATATGAGGGTTCACATGAAGCATTTGCCTTGTTTCACTTAACATGATTTCCAGTTTCATGCGTTTTCCTCAAAATGTCATGATTTCATTTTTTCTTCTAGTAGAATGAAATTTTCATTGTGTATATGAACCATATTTTTTTTTTATCTATTCATCTTTAGATGGATATCTAGGCTAATTCCATTTCTTAGGTACTATGTTCAGGCAACAGTAAACATGAATGTGCAAGTATCTCTCTGGTATGTTGACTGTAAATCTTTTGTGTGTATACTTAAGAGCTGAATCATAATGGCAGTTCTAGTTCTATTTCTAGTTTTTTTGTTTGTTTGTTTTTTGTTTTTTCAAATCTCTAAACTGCTTTCTAAAGAGGCTCTATCAGGTTTCATTGCTACCATCAGAGGGCTCTTCTTCTTCCTCCCCCTCCCCTACACCCTTGCCAACATTTATTTTCTTGATGATAGCCATTCTGACTAGAGTAAGATAGACCTCAAAGTGATTTTAATTGCTTCGAGACTAAGGATATTGAGAACTTTTGAACAGAGTCTCATTATGGGCAAAGAACTGACAGAGATGACCCTACTCTGCCTCTCAAGTTCTGTTACTAAGGTATATACACCACCAAGCCTGGCAGCTTTGTCAAATCCCTATTGGCTGTTTGTATTTATTTTGAGAAATACCTTTTCAGTTCTAGCAGTTTGAAAGTTGCAGGTTTTGTACTAATGCCCTTTGTCCATTTTGGGTTTATTTTTGTTCAATATGTCCAATATGAGAAATATGGCTGTGATTTCATTTTTTTGATTATAGAAACCCAGTTTTTCCAGCACTTATTGTTAGAGTTTGCAAACTTATATTTTAAAGCAATGATGTTTAATGTTAGCAAACAAAAATTCATGTGGTTGGAAATGTAGCTTAATAGTAGAATATAACTTTAGCAGATACCTGACTCTGCGCTCAGGCTCCAGAATTCCAAAATAATTCTATTATTTATTGGATTATTGAAGCTTGAGATATGCTCACAGTGTCATTTTGCTTTTCTTTTTTCTACCAGTCTATAAGGAAGAGCTTCCAAGGTCCATTGAATTCTTTCTGAAGAATAGAATAGTAGACATCACATGACCAAAGAAATGTACCCAGTTTGCCTTTAGGCTTGGACTGATTATAAATGGCAATGCATGTTTTTCTTTGTGCTTCATGTTGGAAACTCATACCTTGCTGACAGCTGCCTTCACTTTTTTAAGTGATTTATTATTAAAATACTCTCATTCTGTTTTGTTCACACACTAGAACACACTCCAGACTTTGTTTTGACCATCTTGGTGAAGTGTGTGTTGACATTTCTTTGCAGTCAAAGTGGACTGGGAGTGTCTGAAAGACACATTCCTGCTGTCAGGATTAGGCCTCTTTTATTTGTCACAGGACCATCGATCATGGATACTGAGCACTGCCAGGCATACTCCTTTAAAAGGTTTTTAACATTTTGTTTGGAAAAATGATGATAAGCAATTATTTTAACCTAATAATCAGACAGTAAAGTCAGAATAGAGATATTGACTAAAAGTTGATTATCAAAATAATGGATTATCACCTTAATGCTTTGGATGAACTTAATCTTCACAAGCAGTCTGTTATTTAGCAAATACTGTGCTTCTCTGTCTCTATCCTTTATGTTCATATCAATGTTACAAATTGCACAGTACAGGAATTTCTGTCTCTGCACTGAGTGGAGGACTTGAAGCCAATTTATAAAATGTTCTTCTTGCACCCCATTGTGGGTTGTCGATGTCACCATTCTGTAAGCACTTCATGTACACTGGTAGAATTACAGCTGGTGGTCTGAATCAGTGTGCCATTGTGTATTCTTACTGATTTGACAGTAATGCAGAGGTTCAGTGGTTCCAAATAGGAATCATGAATTATTGTAGGTTCTCATACAAAATAAAGTGATTTTTTAAAAAAAATAAACTTTAGTATCTGATAAGAGAAAATACCACACAATTAGCCATTTCTAAGACTGAGTTAAGACTATAAAGATTTTATATTGCGTAGTAAAATTTTGTAAGCATTTTTATTTAGATAGGTTTTCATAGTATTATTCCAATTCTCTGAATTAGTTTGTATCATTTAATGTTTGATATAGTAATTAAAATATTAAAACAATGTTATTTCTTTTAAGATATTTTGGGCTTCAAGTTTTAAGTTATCTTATCCAATTTATCAGTGATATTTTGTCTTGTTACCATTTTAATATTTTTTTATGAATTAAAAATAAGTGATTTCTTTCATCTTAAGAATTTTTTTCTTGGTCATTCTGATTTTTAATGATTTTAGGTTTTTACAGTGGAAATTCCTACCCAGAACCAACTTTTTATAACCCAATTCCATGGAAGCCAATTCATATGCCCCCTCCTAAAGAACCTAAGAGTGGACCAGGAAAGAAGAATAAACGACCTGCAACAAGTCACCCTCTCACATCGTCCTCCCTGGCACTTCATAATGCCAAGAGCAGCCTTTGCCTTGGAGCTCTGTGCCGAGTACAGAGATAGAGTGTGTGCACATAGCATACCTAGCTACCTGGAGCTTATGTTTAAAATCAGAGTATTTTTCTTAACACTTCTAATTAATCAGTAAGTCAACGTTTGATGTGGTAATTGACAAGTACCAAAATTTTAAATTTGTATATGGAACCCTTAGAGTTAAAGATAGTTTTTACATTTTTGTTTTTATAAACCATTAAGGTTGATCTAATGATTGTTTTTAGTTTTTATTAAAACTCACCATAGTATCAAGAGACCAACAGTTTTCTTGTGTTCTTTTGTACTATGTTATTTGCTTGTGTTATATACTTAGAAACATAAGATTAATTTGTTCAAACAGACACTGATAAACCTTACTTAAATGGGTTAGAAACCAAGAGAAATAAATTTCAGTGTTTGCAGTGTTTGTACAGTTTTCCATGAAGGTATTTGAAAGTTTTTCTTTTTGCATTTATTTATTTTGTGTGAATGTGTATATATGTGTGGGGATGGATATACTATAGCATGACTGTGGAGATCAGAGGATAACTTCTCCTGTGTGGATACCAAGGATTGAACTCAGGTCATCAGACTTGAGCAGCAAGCACCTTTACCAGACAAGTTGTCTCATTGGTTCCCTGTGTTGGTACTTAAAAAACTGACTGAACTGCTCTGCAACACAGAAATAAGGGTTGGAATTGTTAAGACAAAACTTTAAAATACTGTTTTGTGTTGTAGATCTAAGGCTGATGTTTTTATAACGTTGAGACACTGATAATATTTTGTTACACTTTATAAAATCCTTCTTATATACTTATAATTGGATTGCTGGCTTTGAAATTAGGGTCATCATTAGATCATTTGTAATACTTACTACCTTAAATGTTAAATAAAACTGGGAACATTCTGATAAAATTGCTACTTTTTTAAGAAGTCTTTTTTAGGTGATAATCAAAAACTGAAAATGTATTTAAATATGATTTCTATTTGGAATATATTTTGGTTTTGCTAGATTAGTAATGTCAAGTTTCTGGTGATTGAGAGTAGAAGTTAGTAAAGAAATACCAGTAAGATCTTTGAAGGGTATTCATGGCATCACAGATCTAGGAACAGATAGTTTAGAATCAGTTTTATTGGGTCAAAAGCTTTAGAGATCTGATCATTTTATTCAAACACAGTTACTTTTATAGAGAAGATGGATACTGTTCCATGGTTACACACACACAGACACACACACACACACACACACACACACCTCAATTCTTCCTGATCAAATTTCTTGTTGATATCCTCCCTAATTTCCAAATCCATTCCCACTCCCTGAATTCTAGGCATTTTAGATACATTTGTAAGCCTACTTCGCAGATTAGGTTAGCCCTTACCTTTAACTCTTTAGTATAAATCATAATACTTTTCAAGAAGTTATTTAGCTATTAATCACTAAGTCAGAAGCTTGATTCTATGCTAATTATAATGGGAAGTCTGGAAGATTTTATGCAGGATGTTTGCAAGGTCTTGTTTATAGTTTGTGATTACTGCGTCTGCTATTGGCCTGGTGGGACAAAGCACAAACTCAGGAAGACACATTTGAGAGACTTTTGCAGTGTCCACCAGATAAGTCATAATGGTCGGATTAAGGTAGCAGCAGCTTCATGTAAGAAGTGGGATTTGAGAATTAGAGAAATTTGATCATTAAGAATTTAGATACGCCTTCTCTAACTAAACAGAGAAGGGGGAGATGCCAGAAGCCAGGACCCTCGCCCTTACCCTTACCCCCTACCTTTCCCCACCTGCACAATGTCCTCTGAAGCTTGGCAACTGCAAGATCCTGCTTAGCAACTGCAGATAGACTCAAAGCAGAGTACCATGTCTTCTTAAGAATAGCAGGGAGACCATAACTCAAGCAGTGTACCATATCTTCTGAAGAACTGCAGGTAGATCATAATTCAAGGCAGTGTACCATATAGACCATGACATGTTTCAAGGCACAGGCCAAGAAGATTTTGTACTTTTCCACCACCTGGACCCTCTTACCCCCTCCCCTTGTAAAACATGCTATAAAAAAAAGCATTTCATGTTCAAAAAAAAAAAAGATAAAAAAAAAAGAATTTAGATAGTTAAAAAGGAGCTGATGTTAAATATCTTCCTAAGAAGCAAGCATCTAAAAGTGAAGAAAGTCCAGTCCTCTCACTGCCTCTATCCTCTATATTGGTGTATTAGGGGAGACATCTGTCTGTGGGACTTCTCTGTCATTCTAATTCTTGGATAATTTTAATGGTTCCTTATTTTAAATTCCAGGCATTCTTCTGTTTCCTCTTTTATGCTATAACTTCTACTTACTATGTGGATATATTATCTTCTCTAAGATTGCTTTTTTATTTCTCTAATTGTTTTGCATCCTCTAGAACCTCTCCTTTTTCATTTCCTCACTCTTATTTTTGATTATGGAGATTTCCCTCAAATGTGTTAATCCTTGCCTCACTTGACACTCCCATTCTAAATCTGGAATAAGAATAGGGGTAATTGTATTATGAGCTATTTCAGGTTTCTTTAGGTTCTATTTTTATTTTTAATCTCTGTGTGTGTGTGTGTGTTTGCGCACACGTACATGCGTATAGGCACATGTGCAAGCACCACTTTGAGTATGGAGATCAGAGGACAACCTATGGAGGTTTGACTGTGGATTCTAGGGAGGAATCAGACTTGGATCCATCAGCCTTGGCAGCAGATGTCTTTACTCTCAGCCATCTCATTGGCCCTCCACCTTACTCTTTTGAGACAGGATCTTTTACTGAATCTGGGATCTTATCAACTGGCCAGGCTAGTAAGCCCTAATATCCTCATCTCCGTCTCCCACCACCAGGATCCTGACATCTTGCCTGGCTTTTTACTTGGGTGCTGGGAATCCAGCCTCAGGTCCTCATGTTTGTACAGCAAGCACATCACTCAACTAAGCCATCTCCCTGGACTTGTTTCCCTTTTAAAAGTATCTAATTCAGCATTTAGAAACATTTAGATGTTAATGAAGAGCAGGGAGGAATATAGGAACCCAGAGGAACCATGGCCAATTTAAAAAGAAGGGGGGGAAATACATCTATCATAATTTCCTTAAAAATACTGGAAAAAGATTATTTCCATACTCATTCCAGGGTTAGTTATTACACTTACCTACTTTTTACCACTCAAAGACTTCTTGAAATTTTTTGTCAGCCATTGTATCCTCTGTTCTCTTTGCCCATGTGGACTTGAAGTTCTCTTTCTTAAGGAAATTTCATTAGATTTTTAGAGACGGAAGAGAGAGGGATACTTGTGTGTGAATGATCTACTGTATTTAATTGGATACACTAAGTTTAGTTAGGAACATATCAACATCAAGGTGCTTATAGAACTACATGTTGTCCAGGTGAGAAATTTCATTTAATGGTAGATTGTTTTTTATTTGGTTGGTTTGTTTTGGTTTTAGAGATAGGATTTTTCTATGTAGCCCTGGCTGTCCTGTAACTCACTCTGTAGACCAGGCTGGCCTTAAACTCAGAGATTCATTTCCCTCTGCCTCCCAAGTGCTTGGATTAAAGGCATGTACCATGATGATAGATTCTTAGGCCTTGTCAATTTAATGGAATTATTGAAGCCTAAGCTATGACATTCTTCCATTTATTTACTCAATCAGTGGTTATTGAGCACCTATCATGTTGCTAGTAAGGAAACGGACCAGAATGGAATTCGAGGAAAGAAAACCACTAGATGAGCAACAAAAGCGGTGGAGGGACAGAAGTCAGGGGTCCCCACAGTGTATGTGTTGGAGAATGAATGGGAAAGTCTTAGCATCTAGCACTTATTACTCAAGGCTTGGGTGCAGTCACTATGTGAAGCCATCTGGCACCACATTTGTAGCACTGGCTAGATCCTAGGTTAAAAATCCTGACTTAATCTGAGACCTGTTAAAACTTTCATGCTGTCTGGCATGAGATTTAAAGTGGTATTTAACTGAAAGCTATGAAGGGCACATGTAGAGATGGTTAGCCTTTTTATGTGGGGCAAGGTAAGCACTCAGGAAAAAGAGATTAAGCTGAAATGTGAAGGCCTCCAAATAGACAGAACATAGGATGTGATCATTTGGAAGGCTGGGAGGTAAAGATTTAGAATGCTGGTGGTTCCACATACATTCTCAAAAGGCCAATGATAAGTGATAGTCAGCATTTGAATATCAAAGTCTTTCCACAACTTGACTCCAATGACACACTTATCCAAAGGTACATAAGTTTTCAAAGTCTTAGTAATTTACAAAGAAAACTTGGAATTTCAAGAGAAAATACACTTTGATTTTTGATGGTAAAAATACACCATCATGGCCCCAAAAGTCTGAAGTGCTACAGATGAAGCTATTTTTTTAAAAAATAAACTTCTAATTCTATAAATAACAGTTAAAAGCCTGTGCTTTCATGGACTTATTATACACATGGCCCAGGTAAATAACAGTACAGAGTAGGTGTACCAATAAATCACACTTTTATGACTACAAAGTAATATTTTCTTAATTCACAAAGAAGATACAGCTAATACTGTGCTTTCTATACTATTAATATCTTAAATTCCATTCATATGTTAGTTTAAGAAAAGAAAACCCATGAAGTTACTTTACAGAGAATATTTACTTCCTTCTATATTGGTCATGGCAATCTGCCTGAGAAAAGTTTTCAGAGCAGGCAGTTGTGTCATGAATTACCTCTTATAGTTGAGGAGAAATAATACACCAGGGGGAAAGGGCTGCCTTCAGCTCAGGAGAAGTTAAGGAACGTTCCATCATCTTCCCTAGGAACCTCCATGCTCTGTGCCTTCTTCAGTTTATTTTCTCATACCCATGGAACTGCTTGTGAACTTGGGAAAAGAAGGTTCTCTCCCCTACTTTTCTCGTGGTTCTCGAAACCACCAGCAGGCCAGAGGGATAGGAAAGTTACCACTGTTCATAGTTGGTGGCAGTGCAGGGTGTTTATGCAAGGAGAGTGTTTTGTTAATTTCAATAGATTTAGCCAAATGATCAGTCAGCATCCACCTTTCTACAGCTCACATACTCTCAGTCAAGGGCTTTCCCCCCAGAGTGTAAGTTGAGACAAAAATGCCAACACAGGTGTCTTAATCACTAGAATTGCTGTGAAGAGACACTATGACCACA